ATAATGATCCTTGCATTTAATTGCTTTTAAAGTTTTCAAAGTGCTTCACTTTGCTGTCAAGTGTAGGATGCTATCATACAGAAATAGCCAAAACATCTTCCACAACTGCACAGGCTGTCTTAAAAAGTCAAATTGAATGCCTGTAATTAGGCAGCAGCAACAATACATCAAAGTCTGGAGATACTGTATTTTAAAGTCTGAGATCCATTGAATAAAGGTTACTGATATACTTTTAACTTGAAATAGGCACTAATATGTAAAGGATGTATATTGATGGAACTAAGAAATCTTGTATTATCCTGATAAGGGATTTAAATGTGTAGAGCTCGTGAATAATTATATACCTAGTGGTATGACTCAGGGTTGGTTTAGAAGGAGATAGAAAATGTAAATGGAGAAACAGAAAACCAATCCAATTCATTGTCTCAACTGCTATAATTTTACAGCCTCCCAATCTTGCCCCATTTTTTTCCCTGCCACTCCTAAATGTGGTGACTTTCTGGGATGCATTTCTATGGGTGGTATCCATCATCTAGTAACTTGCCTAAGTGATCATTCTTCATGTACGATCCTTAACAGTGAGTGTCTGCAGCATTTGACCAAGGGAGCAAAATAGATCATTTTGGTTCTTTTCCCACCCAATATCCATGCGCACTTTCAGCAGTGTTAATAATGCGACAGGAGGTGATAAGAGTATAGTGTTTACTTTATAAAACAAACAGTAAAGCTCACTATCTATAATTAACTTTGACATAAAACAATACAATAATAATGACACAGATATAGGAAACAAACACGTGTCCAGACACTGTTCCTTTCTCCAGACCAAAGGAGTAGTACTGACGATACAGGTACAACAACACATATCCAGGTACTGTTTCATACTCCAGACTAAACAGTAGACCTGGGATCACAACTTGACATACACTGGAGAGATCAGCCCCTGGAAATACCCCTGAGAGACAACTGACTCTTGTAATACCAACACTAATCAGGGACTGGTGATCGGTAAACCCTTGGACCCAACAGTCATACCCACCAATATTCATTCAACAATGGGAACAGCAAATCACAAAGAGTGGCTCCGGTAAACTCAACAGACACAACGAACTGTTAGCCCAGACCTAACTCATACTGCCTAACCTGACTCCTGGGTTTCCCTGGACAACTACTACTACTGTTATTACTTCTCTGCTTAGCAAACAGAACCCAAACCACATTACCCACTATTCCCCCTCTTTCACTTTTAATGGTCACTTTCTTATTGGAGGTAAATTCCCTCACCCTGTAGATACAGTAGAATTGATATCGATTCCATTTGGGAAGTGTGCTGACCTTCTACGCAACTCTATTTCCAAGTTACATCTTTCTTTTACTTGTTTCTAACTCCACCTATACCCTTATCACAGAGATAGCCCCACCCTTTGCATCTGCTTTTCACAGACAGCGATATAGACAACTTCTGGGCAGCCTTCCACAGCCTGCGTGTTCCTCAGCCTTGAGGCAGGTGTCTGAGGCTGCAGCACTTTTCTTTCTGTGGTCCAATGTTCTTACATCTATGTTCAAGGTCCCGATTGGTCATTATCTCAGAGAAGTGAACATCTTTCCAGGAAAATATGAAATGTAATCAGAATCTGACCTCAGCCCATCCAGCAAAGCTACTTTTAACTATTTAACTATCAAATCTTCTGGAACATTCGGTTACTGTTTGAAATATACCAATGTATCCCGAGGTGATAGTCAATATATTTCAACAGCACAGGTCATGGGATATAAATCGGAAACAAATATCCTGACTTATTTTTGCTCAGGAATATGGAAGCCATTTGTAGCACTCAATTTTGTTGTGGATGACGCAACTTAATGGTAGGTACTCTACAAGCGGGACAATTATCCACTGAGACAACGAAGTGCCCATCTCTGCAATAGGCTATTCATGACAGAAGGTTGTAGGTCTTTGCTGAGTGAGCTGATTTCAGCCATGGCGGTTATTGAGGTGCCACAATTGACCTCAACACCATTGTGTCAGGGAGCAGGAAATCAATCAGTATTCCTGCTACTGATCACTCTCCAAAGTCTTAAAATTATCATGGAGCAACATATCCTATATTAAACGCCAGTTTAAACAATTAGAATTGCACATGCCAGCACATAAATTATTAAATAAGGTCTGTATAGAGACAGAGAAATTCAGCAGACTGGAGCCAGAGGAAAGAAATTCCTCAAAACGTGCCAAAGGTCAGTAGGTTACTCAGCAACAGAGATTAGAATAAGAAGACAGAATGGTAAAGGAAGGTGATAATGTTCCAGCCTCATACTAAGTGCATGACCTATAACCTAAAGTATGTTTGATGGTTACAAAGGGATGAGAAATATGTAGAGACTTAAGTCAAAGAGCTCAGGACCAGGAGTTTCTAGAGATTGAAACAGTAAATTGTCACTCCATCTTACATTGGGAGCTAACAAGCTTTCTATAGGATTTGGAACAAAAAGGGAATAAGATTAAAATAATAAGAAACAGATTGTTGTATTTGTTTAAAGTACAAACTTCGGGTTGAAAGCTAGGTTGACTAATGTACTTTTCCAAAATTCTCCTTGGTCTCAAAACTTATTATGTTTGCACCCGTAGTATTTACTTCAAAGTGTAATGTTTCATTTTTCAATAATAGGTGAATCACCTGTCTGCATTTCATGTTTTGAGAGTCATATTTTATTTCCTTTGGCAGTTAATCAGATTTTACCAGGTGACATAAATATCACTTTACACAGGTGGGGCTCTGGCCTAAAATTATCATGGTCTTGGCTTTTGGACCATTGTCTTAAAAGTTATAAAATTGCACAGAATTTTGTAAAGTTCTTTAATTCAATATGAAAAGCTTTGTTTTCTACAATACTCCAAAACACCATTAAGCAAAACAAAATTAAAACTGAATATAAGAATTGTTTTTTTGTTTCCACTTGTCTCCTATGCCTGTCTGTTGTTTAAAATATGTTGAGCAGAAGAACCCATTAGTCAAGTTAGACCTAGTTGTAGGGACTTGCATTCATTAGTGAGGATTGAAGATAAGAGGCCACCCAGTACACTGAGGGAGAGCGAGCCATATCGTGGGTGTACACATAAGGGTGATAGAACCGTCTCAAGAGATATTTATTGGAAAGGAATGCATGCACTTTCCCTGGAGGAAAACATCCTGCTTACCTAATTCCGGAAAGCAATGGGGACGGGTTGACAAGAGCCAAGACTTGGGGGCCCCAGAGCGTGTGTAGGGGTAACTGCTGGAGTCTAACCAGCTAAAACCACACAGCTTGCCATTGAAGCACTGCCTGGCAAACGTTCCCGCTGCTTGTCCAGCTAGGACGATCCTACCCATTATGGCTTTGGTTCAGAGGGTTAACAGGAACTGAGCGCGAGGATTCCCTGCCCCCAGTGACTGGTCTGCCCTTCCAGGTCCGGCCGATGTGCCATCATCAGCCGTGCCCTGGAATACTGCAAACCCGCCCGGCGCAGGAACCGGACTGCAGGGACCGCCACACAGCGTTCTGACATCCCGTCGCCAAACACGTCACGTTAAGCTTTACGGAGACCCCGCTTCACCTCCATCCCAAGGAGGATAACTCTAGATTATTATTATCATTATTTGCACGTTCACGTTAAAATTTTAAAGATGTAATAAAGCGGGAAAATTGCATTTTGATTTGATCGGATTGGATTTGTAATAAAGGCACCTGACTGGCACTTTGTGTTGCAGTCGCTGTGGCGCAAACCTGACACCAAACAGCAGCCTTGAGCTCTCTCCTGCTCCACTGCAGACAGACAGTCAGACAGACAGACAGTCAGTCAATCAGACAGTCAGTCAGTCAGACAGTCAGTCAATCAGACAGACAGTCAGTCAGTCAATCAGACAGACAGACAGTCAGTCAGTCAGTCAATCAGACAGACAGACAGACAGTCAGTCAGACAGACAGTCAATCAGACAGTCAGTCAGTCAGTCAGACAGTCAGTCAATCAGACAGACAGTCAGTCAGTCAATCAGACAGACAGACAGTCAGTCAGTCAGTCAATCAGACAGTCAGTCAGTCAGACAGTCAGTCAATCAGACAGACAGAGGATCTGTCAGACAGTCAGTCAGACAGACAGTCAATCAGACAGTCAGTCAGTCAGTCAGACAGTCAGTCAATCAGACAGACAGTCAGTCAGTCAGTCAGTCAATCAGACAGACAGTCAGTCAGACAGTCAGTCAATCAGACAGACAGACAGTCAGTCAGTCAGTCAATCAGACAGACAGACAGACAGTCAGTCAGTCAGACAGTCAGACAGACAGTCAATCAGACAGACAGTCAGTCAGTCAGTCAGTCAATCAGACAGACAGTCAGTCAGTCAATCAGACAGACAGACAGTCAGTCAGTCAGTCAATCAGACAGTCAGTCAGTCAGACAGTCAGACAGACAGAGGATCTGTCAGACAGACAGTCAGACAGACAGAGGATCTTGCGCAGTGCGTTGCTGGGCGACGACGTCACAACGCCTCCAAGTGACGACGCCACAAAGGGTCGTTGCCGTGGGAACGGCGGCTCAGAGCGGAACGTGAGCACGACAGAGACGGACGGAGGGAGAGAGAGAGAGAGGGAGAGGGAGAGGGGAGGGGGCGCCTCGCGGCCAATGGAGCAGCTACAGTTTGCGGCAGTGCTGTCTGCGCCACTGAGAGCTGAGAGCTGAGCCGAGCCTCGAGGCCGCCCTCCCGCATTGCACCCGCACGATGCGCTGCAAGTTTCAGTTGTAAAATACAGCCTCGTGCGGAATATATATATATATATATATATTTATAGATAGATATAGATGACATATGATTATTTATTATAGATGCATAGGATTTCCAAAGAGTGCACCGGTGCCTCCACGCTGTCCCGGGCGAGTCAGAGAGGCGCTGTCGTTATCGCTGTCTGAACGAAAACCGTCTGTGCCCTCCGGACTGCGGGGGAGGGGGAGGGGTGGGTGGGGGGCCGAGGAGGGGGCGGGAGGGGGACCGACCTGGCGGACTGGACCGTGTGCAGTGCCGGAGTTTGCTGGGGATGCTGGAGTCAATTCGAGTGACCGGTACGTGCTTTTCTTCGCCACACGTCGTCTGCAGAAACCGCACCTCTCGGTGTGTTGTGAAAGGTCCTTCTCGTCGTCGTCCCCCGTCCCCCCCACAAGATGTCACTGGGGGGGGGGGGGTCGAGGCGAGTTGTGGCTTATCTGCTCCCATTCAATCTCGAGAGCACTGGGGGTTCACCCCCTCCCCCCCCCCCCCGACGCACTGCAGCTGCAGTCGTGTGTGTGTGTGTGTGTGTGTTTTTTGTGTGTGTGTGTGGTAAAAAAATTTTTTTGCATTAAATCTCTTTCTCGTGGCTCGAACATAACGTGTTTATTCAAGTAGGAGATGTTTAGTAATATTTTCAGGGATGTGCAATAGGACACCCCCCCCCCCTCCTCCCCCCCTCCCCCCCCCCTCCCCTCCCCCCGAACTTGGACTCATTTCGTAATGCATATACCTTTTTTTTAAAAAAAAACTCCCCAAATCAGAGCAATGTTATTGACTGGTTGATGCTGAATGATTGATTCAACCAGGAGACTGGGTTTGAGGAGTGCACTTGTTGTGATAATAATAATAATAATAATAATAATAATAATAATAATCCAGAATATTCTGGAGTTTTGATTTGATTTACATTTGAATGATCGGAGGGTATCTTAATTGCAGAGCCTTCCCTACCCCTGGAGTTTTGGTGAAATGAAGTCCATGGTGGGCTGTTGGTTTGTTGTACGTGGTCTGTGAGAGCAATGGGCTTACGTGGAGTCCTGTAGCTCGGTGGTTAGAGCGCTCGCTCTGCAAGCGAGAGACCTGAGTTCAATTCCAGGCAGAGGGCGAAACCTTGGGCAAGTTTCCTTACTCCACACAGAGCCTAATAATAATAATCCCTCCAAAAAAGCAAAAACAATAATAAATTGGTCGTTTTCGATCCACGACTGTTTGTGGGACATCGCTGTGCGCCATTGGCTGCCGCGTTCGCCCACAAATATACAGTCAATTCACTTTACAGTGTGTTCTGTGAAGCGCTTTGGGACGTCCTCCCGACGTGAAAAGCGCTATATCAAATGCGAGGATTAGTATTATTATTATTAATGGACTGAATGACACTTTCTCATTCCGTGCATTGTGATTCATACGATTCTTGCCAATTTGTGCAATCCTGCTGACTGAATTGCATTTAAGTTTTTTTTAAAAAAACTAATGTCATTTTAAAGGGAAATTACCTACATAGAAAGAAGTGTTTGACAAACTAGTCCTCATTTGCTTACATTCAACCTGTTGTATCCTCGTGGATCATATCGGATTGCATCATCATATCAGTTGTGCGTGATATTATTTTGGTGAACATAATGGCTGGTTCTTGGCTCTCAAGATGGGAAATTCTCTGATTTGCTGCTCTTTTTGTGTACCACTTCGACCGAGGCCTAAAATTCCACCTAGTCTTAGCCTCCTGCGGGGAAGGAAGTAAGCCGAGTCTCCTTGAAGTTGAGCTGCCTGCAAGGCTGTAATCAAGGCAATCCTCTGTGGTGGTCTGAGTCGTCCAGTTCATGAGCCAGACAGGTCTGCAAATCTCTAGGGCGCTGCTGGTGACAGACCAACCAGCCTGGCTTGTCAGTAGGATTCGGAGGGGCAAACTAGTCACTGGGAGCAGGGAGTATTCACACTCAACCTGTTAACCCTGCAAGTCAAAGACCAAAACACACAGTCAATTCACTTTACAGTATATCCTGTGAAGCACTTTGAGATATCTCAAAGACGTGATAAGGCGCTATATCCAATGCAAGGCTTATTATTATTAAATGTGGGTCGTGGCTCAACAAGTAGTGGGATGTTTGCCACACAGTGTTTCAGTGGCAAGCTAGCTGGTACCCCAACACGCTCACTGGTTTCCCTAAACATTGGTTCTTGCCAACCTGTTCATATTCTCTGAATTTAGGTATACATGGTGCATCTCTCCAGGGAGAGCACCCGTTTTATTATGGGCACAGGGAAATTTCCATGTATAACAACAACAACAGAATTATATTTGCATAGCGCCTTTCACGTCGGGAGGACGTCCCAAGGCCGCTGGACAGTCAGCTGAGGGTCGGGATTGGGGAGGGTGGAGGACGGGGGGAAGGAGGGTGATCAAAGGCACGGTTGAAGAGGAGGGTCTTGAGATGGGTCTTGAAGATGGCAAGGGAGGGATTGAGGTAGAGGGACTGCGGGATGGAATTCCAGAGGGTGGGGGCAGAGTAGCTGAAGGCTCGCCAGCCAATGGTGGGGCAGGTGCGGTGGGGGACATGAAGCTGGCCAGAACCCGCTGAGCGGAGGGAGCGGACAGATTGGTAGGGGGTCAGGTGGTCGTAAGGGAAAGCAAGGCTATCGAGGGCTTTGAAAGCGAAGACCAGGATCTTGAACTGTTTCCTCTATGTGATGTGAAGCTAATGGAGTTGGATGAGGATGGGAGTGATGGAGCCTGGTGCAGGAGAGGACATGGGATGCTGAGTTCTGGATGATCTGCAGCCGATGGAGGGAGGAGTTGGGAGCTGCCGACAAGCAGGGTGTTTGCATGGTCAAGCCTAATGTTATGAATGCGTGTATGAGGGTTTCAGTGCCCTGTGGTGTGAGACTGGCAGAGCCGAGCGATGTTGCAGATGTGGAGGAAGGCAGAGCGGGTCATAGCATGGATGTGGGGTAGAAAGGATAGTTGAGGGTCAAACAAGACGCCATGTATAAGTGGCATGCATACGTGGAACTCTGTATGGTTGGATACTCTTAGTGATGCGTTTCTGCATGCGTTCGACACCTGGATGACCATTTTGCTTTGAAGTATAAGATCTGTGGAAAAATCTTAAATTCAAGTCTTAATATTGGAAGCTGATTTTTTTTAAGAACTACAAAAGACTTCCAAATAAAACTAAACGTATGAATTTTTGCAACTCTGCATAATCCAAAACTTTGAAAATAAAATAGTCTTGCAGGCCAAAACTGGATGGAATTTGAGCCTATGAAGTTGAGATTCTTTATGAGTAAACACTTGGGTATGGTCCTGGGAGGCCATCTGATAGCCTGGAAATAAATTTTGTATCTTTCTAATCATGATTGTGTAAAACAAGAATACTGAAGGGACAGTTGAACCTCACTACAGTTGCCTTTCCCAAACTCATTGCACTCTGTGGAATGTACTTTTATGATTAAACTCCTGGATCCTGATTTATTTTCTGGAGCTTAAATGGTTAAGGTGCCTATAAAGAGAGGTAAGTAGGCAGTCATGCGTGCTACAAGTCAACCAACAGACTGATATAATGGACTAGACTCTACACTGATGTAGAAACATTCGCTACATTTTGGCTTGTTTCTACTACACCTTTGTTTTTGTGATGTTTTATATGTAAACAGTGAATTGTGAAAGTAAAAGGCAGAATGAATGAATCAGATTCTGTGAGGCGAGTGATTGTTTTGAGAAGTGCAATGATCTGCAATATCAATAACTATTTGTGAATGTTATTGTGACCAAAATGGATAAAAAGTGAAATTGTGTGATTAGAAACTGTCTGTGTGGTGACCTACTTAATGTCTGTATTTTAATAACTTCAGAGACTTCTTGGAAATTGAATGTCAATTAGGGATAAAATTCACGTGGGGTAAGAACTTCAACATATCTGTTTCAGACCATCTCAATTGTGTGCAATGTTTTACTTACTGTATAAGCAATCAACTCCATTCAGTAGTGTATTCTGTATCAACAAATCACCTGTGTTTGATGAGGTACATGGATTGCAATCTTGTTTTGGCTTCCAATATATTTTAGAGGGTAGTTTATAGTTTCCAGAGATGATTTATCTGGAACCAAACTTGTTCCATTCATTAAGTATGTCCATATCTGCCAGAGAGGATAGAAGAATCACTGAGGATTCAATTCATTGAAAAGAGGTGCAAAATATGGTTACTCTTGTTTGGTCTTTAATGTTTTGTAAAATATATCAAAGAGCTGTTAAAATGGAAGAATTAGAATTACAACAACAATTCACAAAAATTTGTACTGATATAGTGCCTTCCAGCAGAGTGCTTAACTGACGGAGACTGATGACTATTAAAGATTGTTTGTCAGGAAAAAAAATTAAAATGAAAGTTTTGACTTGCAAATAACAAAACCATTTAGAAACACTGACATCTGGAGCTTCTATGTAATTTATTGTTTCCAAATCAGATTTAAATCCTGGAACTGATATTTTAAAAGTCAACATAGATGTTCACATTCCTTCATTGTTATATTAATTAGGAGTGATTGTTCACTCCTGCTTTGAAAATGAGAAAACAATTGCTGCTATTAACATTGGGAACATGCTTTTCATAGAAAACAGTATAAGCTGCAGCAACTCCTTTTATGTTGTCACAGAGGACTTGTGATCTCCTTACACAACATAAGGCCTTGTATTGTATTTGCATCTCCATTCTTTTCTCCAGTCATCTGTTAATCTGTGTCTTGGAAACCAGGAGGGTTAGCAAAAGAATCGGGAGAATGAAAGAAATGTCTTAATTTGGAGTGTTGTTAAGGTAGTGTATTCATTTGCCACAAGTGGTTATTGAGGCTGGATCAATTGAATTATTTAAAAGGAAACTGGATAAGCAGCCAAACAGTAAATGGAATGAGCCAGAAAGCAGGATTAATAATAAAAGGTGAAAGAAAATCCGGTACTAGTGGCAGATACATCGGTTAAATTGGCTTCTCTGCTGAAAATTTATTTTTTAAACTTTTGGAGTACTATTGTTTACATTTTAGAGCTTCATTTAATTTCTACATGAGCGTTCGCCAAATGTTTTTGTACTTTTTTTGTTGCTGGTTTTCTATTTTTATTGGAACAGAATTGAAGGACTTGATATGAAGATGTTGGTTACCAGCATTACTGTGATTCATTGCCATTGGTCAATCCAGCAGCCAGCTTTATAAGTTTTAAAGAACTTATTCTCTTTCCACTGCCTGAAACCCTTGTGCTTGTATCGATCGCTTACATTTTACAACCAGCTGTTGGCTGCTTCAAGACTGTTGATGAGATTCAGTAGGAATGCCTGCAATCCGTTTTGTAAAAAGGAATAATAATAATAATAATCCTTGCATTTGATATAGCGCTTTTCACGTCGGAAGGACGTCCCAAAGCGCTTCACAGAACACACTGTAAAGTGAATTGACTGTAAATTTGTGGGCGAACGCGGCAGCCAATTGCGCACAGCAATGTCCCACAAACAGTCGTAGATTGAAAATGCCCAATTTATTATTGTTTTTGGAGGGATTATTATTAGGCGTGTGGAGTAAGGAAACTTGCCCAAGGTTTCGCCCTGCCTGGAATTGAACTCAGGTCTCTCACTTGCAAAGCAAGTGCTCTAACCACTAAGCTACAGGACTCCAGGGGGAATGAAGACAGGATGGTGTCACTTGATGCTTCTCATTGTTTTAAGCAAAGTCTCGGAGCCCAATTTGTATAACAACAACAATTTGCACTTATATAGAGCCCTCCCTGCAGGGAGCATCTCAGAGCACTTAACAGTGGTGGAGCCTGACTCCGATCCAGGGGGAGGTGTCCGAAAGCACGGTCGAAGAGGAAGGTTTACAGGCAGGACTTGAAAAGGGGGAGAAAGGGGGCAAGGCGGAGGGATTGAGGGAGAGTGTTCCAGAGTTTTGGGAGCATAGTGGCTGAAAACGTGACCTCCGATGGTGGGGCGGAGGGTGCGAGGGATGAGCAGGAGGCCAGTGCCAGTCGAGTGGAGGCACCGAGTGGTGGATTGGGGAGTGAGGAGGTCAGAAAGGTAGGGAGGTGCCCAGGGAGTGAATGGATTTCATTCCCGGGGCTCGAACCGGACGCCTAGATTGCACAATGGTTCGGTGAATCTGAGGGAGAGATCAGGAAGGTTGAGGAGTTTAGATCTGCAGGAGTGAAGAAGTTGATGGGATCCAAATAGTATGGACTCCATCTTGTCCACATTCAGCTGCAAGAAGTTTGCACTCATCCAGGCCCTGATGTCAGGCAGACAAGCTGAAAAACATCGGCGGACCTGGAGTTGGTACTGGAGGAGGCAAAGTAGATTTGTGTGGAAGTTTACCCCGTGTCTGCGGATGACATTGCCCAGAGGGAGCATGTAGACAAGGAAAAGAGGGCCAAGGATGGAACCCTCGGGTATCCTGCAGGTGACCGAGCAGGGGTGTTAGGAGAAACCATTTGCCGAAGTGAAACGGAGGCATTTGGTTAAGTAGGACTCGAACCATGCGAGTGCGGTCCCACTAAGGTGAATGAGGGAGGAGAGGCAGTGGAGGAATATGATGTGGTAGACTGTGTTGAACACGCCAGAGAGATCCAGGAGGACGAGGAGGCAGAGGGAGCCCCGGTCACAGATAGGGAGGATGTTGCTTGTGACTTTGACAAGCTGTCTCCGTTCTGTGGGCAGGATGAAAACCAGATAATCTCCTCACTTCCCAATCCACCACCCGGCGCCTCCAATCGTCTCTCGCACCCTCCGCCCCACCATTGGAGGTCGTGCTTTCAGCCACGACACACCAAATCTCTGAAACACTCTCCCTCAATCCCCCATCTTGCCCCTTTTATAAATCCAGCCTGAAAACCTTCCTCTTCGACCATGCTTACAGCCACCTCTACTGCCCCCCCCCCCCACGGCTCAGAGTCAGGCTTATTTTTTCAAAATAATAATAATCCTCGCATTTGACATAGTGCTTTATCATGTCTTCGAGACGTCTCAAAGTGCTTTGCGAATATACTGTAAAGTGAATTGACTGCAATATTTTGTGGGCGAAACGTGGCAGCCAATTGCGCACAGCAATGTTCTACAAACAGTCATGGATTGAGTAACCAAATCATCATTTATTTATTTATTTATGGAGGAATCGACTAACAACTGGATTCCTACTTACTGCTAGGTAAACAGACACGTGTGTGGGGTAAGAAAATTTGGCATAAGGTTTCACCCTGCCAGGGAATCAAACGCGGGTCCTCTCGCTTGCGAGGCGATTGCACTGCTGTGTAAGAAGCAAAGTGGGCACTTTCTTTCACAACCTATGTGCACCACTCACATCACGAGCTGGTCTCTGTTAATTCAGCGCAATGGCTCAGTGGCAAGAGAGGAGAGCAGAGATGAAAGAGGGAAGCTTTGTCGCCGTTTGAGGAGAGTTTGTGCAGTCAGGTGCTTCTTGAGAGGGGGGGGGGGGAAAGCACCCGGCTCCGAGGGCACTCACTGCGCAAGGGACGCTGCCTCCTGTTGGGCCTCTTTATATTGGGTGTTCCATGTTTTGGGGTCTTGGTTGTCATGCATCTTTGCCACAAACTCCAGCACTTTCATCTTGGAGGTCTCTCTGAAAGCTCGGGCGCCCCAGCGGAATTCATACTCCACCGGATCCGTGTGAGCCACTCGGCAGTACTCCAGGTACCGCTGCCGGACGAACTCCTCCGTGACCAGTTTCTTCACGTCGCCGAAATCGTCGTGCCTCTCCGCGGGGTCGACCCGCAGCCTCTTCAGCGCGTGCCAAAGCAGGGAGTCCTTCACCGCGTTGCCCTTCATGAAGATGATGGAGAGGATCACCAGCAGCAGGCCCGTCTTCGGGGTGGCGGGGCCCCAGTTCATGCGGTCGCCCTCCCGCCTCGGCAGCCGGTTCACCAGAATGTAGGCGTGGTTCTTCGTGTCGATCTCCACCAGCTCCATCCCGAAAACCTGCCGGAAGGTCCGGGCGGTCCGCCGGATGATCTCCGAGTAGATGGACCTGTACTCCTTCAGCACGTTCTTCGTGATGTCCTTGCGCTTGACCGGCACTTTCCGCTGCTCCATGATCAGCACGTACTGGACCACCTCGCTCACCTTCCGGTCGACCACGGCGGCCGGGGTCAGTTTGGACAGGTGGCGCTGAACCTGCGAGGCGGTCGGAGTCTGGGAGCGGCTGCTGCTGCTGCTGCTGCTGCCGCCGGCGGCCGCGGCCACGGCCACGTCCTCCTCCTCCTCCTCGTCGTCGTCGTCCTCCGGGTCCAGCTCTTCAGCCTGCAGGCTCGGCCGGCCGGCGTGACGGAGCGAGGCGCTCGCCCGCGGCATCGTCAGCGGGGGGGAGGAAAAGCGAAGCCTGGCTCCGCTAGGCCCTGCCGCGCAGCCGCAGTGCTGGCTCGCCAGCAGCGCCGCCGGCGGTTGGATGCGCGCGCAGGTTCCGCCCGCGCGGCGCGGCGCGGCTGGGGGGGGGGGGGGGCGGGGCTGACGTCCTGACGTACTTCAGGTCCTTTTGGTCGCAGCCACAGAACGGGCACTACAGGCTCGAGAGGGGCTGAATAATAATAATCATAATAATCATAATAATAATCATAATAATAACCATAATAATAACCATAATAATCATAATCACAATAATCATAATAATAATCATAATAATGATCATAATAATAATCATAATAATAATCATAACAATCATAATAATCACAATAATAATCATAATCATCATAATAATAATAATAATAATATTAATCTTTGCATTTGATATAGCGCTTTTCACGTCGGGAGGACGTCCTGAAGCGCTTCACAGAACACACTGTAAAGTGAATTGACTGTATATTTGTGGGCGAACGCGGCGGCCAATTGCGCACAGCAATGTCCCACAAACAGTCGTGGATTGAAAATGACCAATTTATTATTGTTTTTGGTTTTGGAGGGATTATTATTAGTCTCTGTGTGGAGTAAGGAAACTTGCCCAAGGTTTCGCCCTCTGCCTGGAATTGAACTCGGGTCTCTCGCTTGCAAAGCGAGTGCTCTAACCACTGAGCTACAGGACTCCAGAATGGCCCTACATATTGTTCCTAATGCTACTCCTAATACCTCTCTGTGCGCATCTTTCTTTTAAACTATTACTTAATAATAATAGTAAGATTCATTTGGTCATTTCAATCCACGCCTGTTTGTGTGGGGTGGGGTGGGGTGGTGGGTGGGGGGAAACGCAATTGGCTGCCGCGTTTCGCCCACAAAATACACGGTCCAATCCACTTTGCAGTCTATTCTGGGAAGCGCTTTGGGACGTCTCGAAGACGCGATGAGGCGCTATATCAAATGCAAGGATCATTGTTATCGATTCCCGTCTCTTCAGCGTTCTGTATGAAAAATATTTTGTGACCTCAGTTATGACCATCTTAGTTCTGAATTTAAGCATTTCCCCCCCATGTACCTGACCCCTCTACCAAAGGGTATAGTAGTTCACTATATAACCTTTCAAATTCTTTATTGTTTTAAATGCCTCAATCAAATTTGAGTTAGTATGCCTGACAGACTTTTAATTCACAATTCCGAGGAGCATTCGGGTTTGTCTAAATCGTATTTATATGCTACAGTAAATCTTTTGTCAGACACATCTGTCACCAAACCCTGGTTAGCTTTGGTTTACCTCCATCTGTATTATCTTCATTCAAATAAACACATTTTCTCTTTCAACGTTATATTCAGTGTTCTACGGGAACCTGAGAAACCCAGTGTCGTAATTGGAAATAGTTACACTGTTTTATTGAATTTACCCCCTTGTTTAGAAGCAGAGCACAAGGCATGCGATTCGGGAGGGGGATAAATTCAAAACGAATCTGCGGTAACACTATTTGTGTTCAATGTATGGAACAGGCTCCCTAGGGAGACGGTGGAGGCAGAAAGTGTTAATTCTTTCAACAGCAAATTAGATTTATTTTAGGAAATAATATCGTGGGATACAGTATATAGTTTGGGACGTGACACGTGCATGTGACTGCCAGGATGGTGGAAGGCGAACTGGATGGACCTTGTTTTTCTTTCGTGTAGCAATTCTTATGTTCTTATGTTGGGGATTTGACCTATCCCAAAATGGACAACATTGGAATGGAAATAGTGCCTCTCCAATCCAATTTGTATGATGATCTTGCTGTTTGGAAGGTGGTTGTGTGCTCAGGATTGAGATGAAAATATCCATGTAAATTAATTGTACCTTTCCATTTTTGTTTTCCATGCAGAAAAGCTTCGCTGGCCAGAGGTAGAGCTCACCAAGAAGTCCATACTGCTGAATCCTACTGGAAAAGAATATACAAGCCAAACTGGGTTCCAAGAAGTTTCAGTCAGTATTCTCAAAGAAATCTTCAATGGAACCAATGGCTACAATGTTTTATTGCACTCAAAAGGAGAGAAAAAACACTTGTCCTCCAGCCTTCATAAGAAGCATAGGAAATCCAGCAAGCCATCAGCTGTCTTGCGGAGTAAAGAACGCCGAGCCCCCAGCGCCCCTCTTCCATTGGTGGGCAAGGAGTGGTACCTTGGTAACCGGTGCACTCCCCTGATTGTGGGAAGTCTAGTTTCCAGCACTATGAAATTCCCTTGCAGCATATCTGTAATAGGAAGTGGCATTGGGCTGTCCCAGAGACCTAAAAGCAAGATAAAAAGGCTGTATTTTACAAGTCTGCAGAAGTCCAAGCCCACGGTCGGCCACGTTCAAGTGAGGGACAGCGAAGGCTCTGTTCGTCGGCAGTGCATACTGAGTGCCATCAAACCTTCAAACGTGGAAAAGGAACGGATCAAATTTTTTAAGTCTGACTTCACCTACAATCCTCAGTTTGAGTATGCTAATCCTGTTTCACCCCACGTGTTGGCAAGGCACAGTAATGCTTCCGATACATTTCTTATTCAGGTACAGCAATGTTTGATTGAATGGGTTTTAAAAAAATGTTGTAGTTATTGATTTGTATGAAATTGCTGTTAAAGCAAAATTTATTTTATTGAGTTCTGAAATGCAGAATTCTATTTAATGACTGTAAATTTTAATTTAAACATATGGGTGGAAAAATCTGACAATTTATTACAGATTTGATAAACATTTATTCCCAGCAATTACCTGTGTTGGCGATCCTCCTCTTCCTCTCCGCTCCCCCACCCGCCCCCCAAAAAAAAATCCTTGCCAGGAGGACCCAGTCATGAATAGATGACAAAATACAATGCTTCTTAAGTGACAAAGAAATGTAGTGCAAGAGAAAAATACGTTCAACAGGTAACTTTTTTTTAAAAAAGCATGGGGTTAAATCTGGATTTGGAGTTGTTATCCTTGAAAAAGTCATCAAATGATGATGTAGTGAACAGTGCTTCTAAAATGGCTCACTCTCAGTGAGGCTGATGTAGCCCCAAATTAACTATCAACTATTAAAGTATAGTTGGATTTGCACTGAAGAGAATCTAAATAATGTATAAAGAATAAAGTATACTTTAATAGTTGTACTTAAATTTATGTTAAGATCTTTTAAGTTATGAAAAATAATTTGTTGTAGTTGTTGTATTCTGTGATGTAGCATTATACTGTGACTTCCTGAGTGGACTGGAGTAGGACAGATGTTTTATGCGATGTCCTGGCCAACAATGTCACTCACTCCATGTCTGTTTGTGGGGCATTGCTATGAGCAACTGGCTGCTTGCTGCATTTCGCCCACAAAATTCACAATCAATCCACTTTGCAGGATATCCTGTGAAGCATTTTGAGATGTCTCAATGACATGATTGTAGTAATAATCCTTGCATTTGATATAGCACTTTTCAGGTCTTCTGGACATCTCAAAGCGCTTCACAGAATATAGTGTAAAGTTAATTGACTGTATATTTGCGGGCAAAAATACAGGCGCTATATCAAATGCAAGGATTATTATTAATAAAGTGGATCTAACCATTACAAAAAGTAAAATATTGGATGCTTCAGGATCACACAGTGTGGATAACAGTCCAAATGGTGCTTAATTCGATGTTCACTGAAAAGTCTTGCTTACCCTTCCACCTGGTGTGACCTGGGACTTGCGCCAATTACTTGTTATAATTAACAAGCTATAAGTAACTAAGATGCCAATTTGCATTATATCTCTTGGCAAGACTGACATAATGATGGTAAGTATCTGTTTTCTGTTAACAGGAACAAGAAAAGGAGAAGTATTTTTGAATGGTCTTGGTTGTTCATTTTCTTAAACGCATCTCTCTCTCTCTCTCTCTCTCTCTTTTCCTCTCCGCCTTAATCACGGTGAAGCTTTTTCAGCAGAGGTCAGTAAAAATCAGTAGTGCAAGCAAATCAAAATACGAATGGGAAAGTACCAGAAAAAAACCCAAAGAGAGCAAACATAGTTTGTTAGCATGTTCAAGACCTTATAAGTCACTCAACCATCACACTACAATTGACACTATCTTCCTAAATTCTGGGATCATTTCAATTGAAATAAACTGAAACTGGAAAAATAACTTGCTTCTAGTATTCTTCCCCCTCAACTTTTCATTGTTAATAATGACAATTCATTCTTATAATATCCTTTGTATTAGTTAGGACATATTGTTTTGGACACCACTAACCTAGGACATATCGTTTTTGCCACCTCTATTTACTAACTGTGAATGGTTGAATAATAAGCCTTGCACTTGATATAGCGTCTTCAAGATGTCTCAAAGCTCTTTGTAGAATATACTGGAAAGTGAATTGACTGTATATTTTGTGGGTGAAACATGGCAGCCAATTGCACACAGCAGTGTCCCACAAACAGTCGTGAATTGAGCGACCAATTTTTTTTAAAGGGATTGTTACTCCCGGGAAAGCGATCCGACAATTGACTAACAACCGGGTTCCTACTTACTGCTAGGTAAACAGAGGCAAGAGGAGTAAGGAAACTTGCCCAATGTTTCGCCCTGCCGGGAATCAAGCCCAGGTCTCGCTTGCAAGGCGAGCGATCTAACCAATACGCTACAGGATTCCACATTATCATGAACTGCTCAAATTATCCTGTCCAGATGTGAACACATTGTTTAGTCAACAATCTCTTTTAATTTGCTTCTCTCCAAAGTTTTGAACTAATAAATCGATAAGCCACACATTTCTTTAACTCTCACTTGAATTATCTTGTAACCACTTTATCCACTTTGAGTCAATGATTAAAGAATAATTTTTTTCCACAGCTAAATAAATTATTAAATATAAATACTTCTATTTCAGTCTTAGTAGCGCGTGAATTAATTCTGTTGTCATTACACCATCAATTATTAAATTGATTCATTCAGTAGTGAGCTAATTGGACAGTAGTAGTGACATCTGACAAGCATAGATTTGAGCCCTCACTAGATGGATAGCAGGTACCAGGAATTCCCTGCGAGCTTCCTGGTGGACAACACAATTCAGCATGAAATGGGTGAGAGTATTGCCAGTATCTTCCTGTCTACAGATTGGACATAAATCCCTTCTGATGAGTGATGGTTTCACCCTTTGGAGGTGCGTTATTTCTCTGCAAACCAATTGGGGTTGATTCCAGGGCCTGGGTGTATGAACGTGTTCATGAACTCAGACTCCAAGTAACGCCTTCCAGCACCTGTCACCCCAAGCCTCAGAGTTTCCTCATCAGCATGGTGGGAGGACCTTTACAGCATAGCTTGTGATATTCCAGCCATCTTATGTTCTCAAGGTCCAAGTTCATTGGCACGTTCCAGGCTTACTCAAGACCAGCTGCTTAATCCAGGTCCTTGTGTGAGGGGCTTTGGCAAATAGACGTGCCTGCTGTGAAGTGTTATAGGTCAGTGTAGGCCAGTGTCCTTTCTGTGTTTGCCACAAATCCACCTCATGTTTGTTGCAAATGGGCCAGAGTTATCCTCTCCACTGCATCCCCAGGAGCTCAGAACCATAAAGAAGAACTATTTACACACAGGTCTTGTATGCCACAAGCTTGACCTGGATTGGGACCTTGCTGTCCGTGAATAGACAATCACGATCAGACTGCCCTTCGCCCTTTCTCCTCACAATCCTTCACGACAACCTTTGAGTAAGTGTACACTTTATAATGGAATTTTATGTCAATAATTCACACCACTAAAAATCTGTGAATTTACAAAAAGTAAGATTACCCCCACCGTCCCCATGCAGAATTTTGACCAGCAGAACCATCACTTGTCGCTGTTTATTCACTTGTTGTGAATTGCAGAACAGTGTTATTATAAGCTGACTGCCTCTACCCAGAAATTGATGGATTTAATTGAGCAACTCTTTAAAAATGCTTATCGTTATTCTTGCAAAATCCTCATTTTTTTTCAAACTGTTCATCTGTATAGTGGATCACTGCATTTATTGATATTTCTGAACTAATTAGAGAACTGTACAACAGCACTACCACCACGGCTACTGTGCAAAGTGAAAAAATATCGTTATTTGCAATCATTAATTGTTGAAGTTTACAAGGTCCACCTTACTATGCACATCAGTAATATAAAGTTTTTGAACATAGGAATTAGGAGCAAGAGTAGGCCATTCGGCCCCTCGAGCCTGCCCCGCCATTCAATAAGATCATGACTGATCTTCTAATGTAACTCCATGCCCGCCTTATCCCCATATCCGTTAGTCCCTCTATCCTTTAGAAACCTATCAATCTCAGTCTTGAATATGTTCAAGGACGGAGCATCCACAGCCTTTGGGGGTAGAGAATTCCATAAATTCACTACCCTCTTGAGTGAAGAAGTGTTTCCTCAACTCTTCGAAAGGGCTGTCCCTTAAGACTGTGATCACTATATATATTTTTCCTATCCTTTGTGTATTGCAATAGCATTTCTATAGACAAAACAGTAGTCAATGTAGAGTTTGTCTAAAACTGTAAATGATCTGTCATATTTCGACAGAGCAACCATTTCCTCTGGTGGGGAATCCAAAACAAGGGAAGCATCATCTTAAAATTAGAGCTAGGCCATTTAGGAGTGAAATCAGGAGGCATTTTTTCACCCAAAGTGTAGTGGAAATCTGGAACTCTCTCCCCCAAAAGGTTGTGGATACCTATTCACCCTGCCATTTGCGTATCTCTTGGATCTTCTACCTTTAAGTCCTGCCTCAAATCCTACCTCTTTCAACATGTTCAAGGTTACTTCTGACACGGGTCACAGAGCCTCTATTTCCAACCTATTCTGATTTGTAAACATCAGCTATAAAATTATACAGTTTAAAAAATGTTATGAAAGGAGTGCAATTATCTTTTAAACTTATCCGGATCTTTGATGCTTGAAGAAATCTGAAGTGTAATATATTAGGTTTGTCGTGTAAATTTTCTCGTGTAATGTTGGTCATCAAGTGCAAAGGAAAGCTTGCAAGGTCAGATATTTAATGTTTCAAACTCTGAAGCATTGCTAATGTGGAAAAGTGATGGATATCATGATCAAAATTTCGACTTGTATTGAGCTGGTAAGAAGGCCGAACCTGGTTCATAAAAGGGAAAAAAATATTGTATCTGTAGTTTAACATTAATAAATAACTTGCAGCTTGCCTAGAGAATAGAGGAGGCTTTTGCAGTCTGAAAGTCTATAATTGCTCATCAAATGCAATTAGATGCAGTTGGAAGCCTGGTGCTTTTTAACGTCCATGAGGAACGCTACAGAATGACGGACCACAATAAGTTTGTACAGAAATGACAGCTAAGAATTGAGTGCTTCAGAAAATGAACACAAAGGGATTAATAGGTTAGCTGGCAGGAATCTGGGACATGCATTTCCTTAATAGCAATGGTGTAGTGTAATAGTAAATAATTAAATACCACGTTGGGAACTGAATAACAGTCCCAGCAGACAGTAATGAATTCTGTCTCTTGGCCAAGTAGGGAAATACTGCATTTAATTAAAGGAATTAGACATTTTTACAATGGCGGAAGGGATTGAGGGTTATTAGTGTGAGATGGTGTTTCAAAATGAGACCACCTGGATTAATGGTAATGATATTTTCCAACCATGAACAGTCTTGTGTTCCTACAACATTTATTTTATGTGACCTTGGTATAGCATTTCTTCTGGGTGAAACCTGATGTGTGAAGAGACTGGCAGCTGGAAATGTGAAGTGCTTTTTACAGAGACTTTTTTTTAAAAAGCCTTGCATGGAGATGGCATTGCATTTCTATTTCACATTGATTTTATTAATTGCTAATTATTTCACTACAACAGAGTGTATTTAAAGGGTGGATCCAATAGGTTTTCAAAATATGACTGATTTTGATTGCTTAAATTGAGAATGATTGATTGATTGATTAGTTAGCTAGATAGATAGTTAGTAACAAGAAAATGTAAATTGGTATTCGGAAGAAAAGAGTTTAGAAGACACACCCAATATCAAGACAAAGGGTTGTGGACCCGAAACATTGACTCACTTTCCTTTCTTCCATAGATGCTGCCTGACCTTCTGAATGTTCCCAGCGACTTCTGTTTTTGTTTCATATTTTCGCAGAAGGCTGTTGACATATGAAATGTCTTACACAAAATAACTCAAGCCGGATCAATGAGGGCCATTAAGAGAAAAACTGGACAGGAAGTAATATTAAATGGTTTAGGCAAAATTGAGGGTAATGAGATTCAGAGCAGATAGCCCCAGTGAGGAGCTCTGACACGAGTGGCAAAATCTTTTTTTGTGCTGTAAACGTTCTTTGATTCTATTGTCAACATTTAAACAAAACCTCCTGGGGAAAGGTGTGCACAAAGAAAATAGATAGAATGAGGAATAGAATAACAAAAATTTAGAAAAAAGGAAATCATCGCTAAGAAGGCTACTTCACTATGACTAGAAATGGCAGATCTCGTGTTTGTTTCTTTTCAAATTCATCACTAGATGGCGTTTTATTTTCAATATGTACAGTATGAACATCCATTTTTCCGTGATCCAGTAAAATACTGCAAATGATTTTAGTTTTTTAAAAAAAGGTGGATTTGTTGTGTGTGACTTGCATAATATTGTCTCAATGGTCTTTTCCTTTCATTGTGTCCAGTAAAAGAGATGTTACGCTGGGAATAAATAGTTTGAATGTGGAAGAGCAACTCCTGATCCTCTTGAATTGGAATGATCAGGTATCATTTTCACTAAAAGATCCTTTTACAGTGCAACTGACCTGGAAGAAATCAACAGCTACTGCAAAAAGAGTTCAAAAACAATTCAACGAAGATAACAACCCTCAATGCACTTTTTGTAAAACTGTTGATAAATGATCTGTTAAGAGTTTCGTTGTGTAGCTCTGATTGTAAGTTGTTAAACTTGTGAAGTTTTGCTGCTCTTATGTCAGGCCTGAACATGTCCATGTACTGTTCCTGATAAATCTGGTCCCAGTGGGGGCTGGTTTAGGACATCAGAGCCCCACATTTCTCATGCTCTTTACCTTAAGCCTAAAATGGTGAGGTTTTCAGGCCTCAGTTTTCAAATTCCAGACTGAACCTGCTGTATTACACAGTGTCAAAATATTCAATCTTCTAGGAGACAAATTAAATTTCAAGCAAGGCGTGAGAAGTCTACTATTGCCCAAGCTTACCATTGTTTTTTTGGTCAGCCGGGTGTCTGATGCATGCGGAAACCCATCACCATGCTTAAGTGTATCCAAACCAAGCTGAGATTTCCATGCTTCCCACCTACACATATAAATCCCAGAGACATTATTGGAATGGAATGTGCACTCTCTCCCTGGAGGGACACATCCTGCTTATCTAATTTCAGAAAGCATTAGGCGCAGATTGGCAAGAGCCTTTGGACCCCAGAGTGTGTGTTAGGGTACTGCTGGAGTCTAACCAGCTAAAACCGCATAGCTTGTCATTAATATTGCTGTCCGGCATGCATTCCCGCTGCTTGTCCAACTGGGACCACCCTACTTATTAGGGCTTTGGCTTGCAGGGTTAACAGGAGCTGAATGGTATGGCTCCCTGCCCCCAGTAACTAGTCTGCCCTTCCAGGTCCTGCCAATGAGCCAGGTTGGCTGTGTTGTCATCAGCAGTGCCCTGGACTACTGTGGACCCGCCTGGCTCAGGAACCAGACTACGGACGCATCCTGCAGACTACAGACCACCACATAAGGCTGGTTCGATTCTGACATTCCACGGCCAGGCATGTCACCTTGCAGCCAGTTCAGTTCCAAGGAGACCCTGCTTACCTCCCCCACTGCGCCCCCCCCCCCCCATGGATAGTCACTAGTTGGTTCGACATCCGACAAGAGCAGGTTTGAGCCCTCACTAGGTGGATGGTAGGTACAGTGATCTCCCTGCAAGCTTTACGGTGGGTAAACGTATCTCAGCATGAAATGGGTGATAGCATTGCCACTATCTTCCTGTCCGCAGCTCAGGCACACATCCCTTCCCATTCTCATTTGTCTTTGCTTCAAAAGTAGGATATACCAATATCTGTTTTAAGGGCAATTTTTTTTTGTAAGCTTCCTGTTTTATATTTAATTGCATTTGGTCTTTTTTTCCCCTTCTTAGGCTGTGAGGATAATGAAGAGGGCACTCCGGAAATACGGCAGCTATGAGAAATTTGAACAAGTGACAGGAGGCAGTCTACTATCCAAGAGCCGTATCTGGTATTTTGTGAAGAAATACATGGAAAAGGAGGACTGTCTGGGTGACGTAAGCTCTAAGTGCAAACTGAGTCTGTTTCTTTTTGATAGTCACTTGACACTAATACTGTATGTATAAAGTTTCTTTTCGGTTGGTAAATCTTGCTCAGATCCAACATTTTTCATGTTCTTAGCCTTAAAACTACTGTTTTACAATTTAAAATAACGCAGAAATTTGAAAAACAACCTTTAATTAAAAACACCCTTAATTTGAAAGGCAATTTTCTGTGGTTTTTTTTCTTGTTGTCGTGGAAAATCAACCTCCAAATTTTATTTGAATCTAAGATTTTTTTTCCCCAAATTCCCCAAAATCTTAAATTTATACAGTGCTCTTAAGCCTAAAAACATGAGAAATTGTGGACCTAGATTAAGGATATTCTTGGTGTCTGGAGCTCAGGACCACTCCAGAGCCATTGGTGGAGATGTCCAGATTATTAATGCTCTGTGTTGGGGAAGGGAATATTAGACGGGGGGGGGGGGGGTGATAGACTCGAGGAGTTGAAAAGATGAGTCAAATACCTCTAAGGGGAGGGGAGAAATGCAGGGGAAAATATCAAAGGAAACCAGTGGCAAAAATTAAAACGATCACACTATATAATAAGAATAATTCTTGCAAGAATGACATGATAAGGCACCATATCAAATGCATTTATTTAGCGCCTTTCATGCAGGGTAGAGTCCCGGAGCGCTTGACAGAGGCAGCCTGACACAGAACCGAAGGGGAGGTGACGTCTCAAAGCGCTTCATAGGATATACAGTAAAGTGGATTGATTGTATCTTTTGGATCAAACTATAAACAATTTGTATGTGTGCAGGTCTTATGGTAATTTCAGGCACCTGCTGTAAACTCAGAATGGTTAGTGTTATATTTGGTATTTTGAAGACTCATGTCGAGTACCTGATTTGTAGGTAGCTGGCTACTGGTTCAAGTCCCAGGCTGCAGGCTGGTTGAACTCAGCAATTTGCCAGTCTGACCTTATTATAGTGTATACTTTGCTCCCCTTGCAGGTCATCTATTGAAATGAAAGTTGTTGAAAAATAATTGGAATTCAAATCTTTCCTGTAGCATCCTTTGGGATTCAGTCAGTGGAAGCTTTTGTATTTGCTCACATTTTTTCCAGCACGTTGCAATCTGATAAAGTGGGAGCAGGCTGAGGAATGTGAGGGATGGCTAAATATGGGCAAACATTTTTTGAAAAATATACATTAAAAAAAACAAATACAAGGAACCGAAAGGAGACACTTTTATTTAGTAGAACTGGTTTGATCCCATTATAACAAATGTTTGCCAAGAGGAACATCTATTTTTGCATAGCAAAGAAATACGTAAACTGTTTTCTTTTTGTTGCTAAGGTCTACATTATGTCACGCAATGTAAAAACACGGAGCTTTTGTTTTTCTGTCCAAACTAAATTGGTAAGGCAATGAAAGCAGATAGGGTTGTTGGCAGAATTATTGTTGTTTATACTTGTAAAGCTATATCTAGGGCCAATAGAAAATTATGGAAATTTTTGCCCAAAATTAGCCATTTCCCAGAGTTTATTTCCTGGCACCCAGTCATTTTAAGCATGAATACTTATGTTGTATTAGTTGGTTAGCCTAAACCCTTTCCCAGCATAAGTGATTGGAATAAATATGTTTCAGAAATAGATTTTTTTAATAAACCCCAGAAATATAGATGTATATTTACATTATAACAAAGTACAGAGTACAAAGCTCTGGAAAAGGGAATCCACCCTATCTACATCAACCCTACCAACCTGGCCATTCGCTTCACTCAGCAAACATCGACCTGCTTCATGTCCCTCACACTATCCACACCACCATCAGAAGGCAAGCTTTCAGCTATCATTCCTCGCTCTCTAGAATGCCATCCAGACTCCCTCAGTTTGCTGCCTCCCTCAGCTTATTTGAGGTCTGTCTCAAGGCATACCTCTTTGATTGTGCTTTTGGTCATCTTTCTCCTCTCCATCTGTTTTGCCTCCAAGCCTGGCTTGGCTGCCCGGCCAGCGGTATAAGTGCTTCGAGACTTCTTACCAATGTGAAAGACACTATATTAATGTAAACTGTATTCTATTTGTCTGGTTGACTGGATACAATTGGTGTGGTTTTGAGATAGGCGCTGCAGTATTATTGGTGTTTCCACCACATGGTAAAGTTTACTTGTTACAGTCTTGAATAAAATGATAGTTGGTTGCCTCAGATGTTCTTCTACCACACCAATTCCAATATGTTTCCTTTTGCAGATTGCAGTTCATCTGACAGATGATCTGCTCTCACGTGCATCCATGACTATAGTGAATGGACGCCCAACTCTGACAATCAACGTGTCAACTGCTCGAGAGCACTGGCTGGAGGGAATGCTGAGACACGAGATAGGTGTGAGAAATCCCATTGGTCTTTCGTAGCTCAGATTAAGGTGTAGTTTGGAAGTAGATGAGACAGCGCTACGATCTGTAGGTCAACACACTTAACCCTTGAAGTTTGTTCATTGGTGTTTCTTCCAGCAATGCCAAGTTCAACTTTATTCATCAGGGAAAAGGTAAAAATGAAGATGGGGATGGGAAGAGGTGCAGGGGTTTCAATTAACAATTCGTAATTAGATCATAATTACCTGGATACTCTGGAGGTGAGTCCCTCAACGCTGTTCTTAATGCTTTGTGTGAAACCAGGCTGGACATTCTACTGTCAGGTAGTGACATTATGGCTACTTTGAATTTTATTCAGTAAAATGCAAACTGGCAGTAATTAAGGAACCAGTTTTATGGAGGTCAGCCTAAAGAACTGTGGGGGTAGAGGATGAGTTTGCGTTTGACACATTGATGGTAAATCCTAATTGATTTCAATTAAATTTTCTAATTTTAGTTTAGTACAGAAAGCTGTGGGGAAGGTCCACTTCCCAACTAGGAACATTTGCATTCAGAATGGCAGCTGAAGTAAAGTCATCTTGCATTTTAGTTAGGGTAGAGTCTAGGTAGAGCAAAATACCTCTGTAAATGCGGGAGACAATATGCCCCATTTTTCAGCCAGGAATTTTAAATGTTTGTTTTCAACATGAAAATCTTGGGCTCACTGTGCAGGTACCCACTATCTTCGAGGTTTGAACAACAACATGCAGCCCTGGTGTAACTGGAATGGTCGTAAGAAGCATGCACTTAAACCAGTGAACCCAACTGAAGAGGGACTGGCCAGCATCCACAGTGTCCTGTTTCGCAAGGACCCTTTCCTCTGGAGGGCAGCTCTCCTCTACTACACAGTCTACAAAGCCAGTTTTATGTCCTTCAGTGAGCTCTTCCGAGATATTAGCAAGTTTGTGAAGGACCCAAACACTAGGTGGGATTACTGCGTGCGAGCTAAGCGTGGTCAGACTGACACATTACAAGCAGGTAGACACTCATTTTGACAATGCAAGTGTTTCCATTGATCAATATGTGAAATGGGAGTGTGTGGAACTTAAAACAAATCCATTTGCATCTCATACTAAGTGGCTAATGTCATTTTGTGAAGAAGTGTGTATCATAGATTATGAGAACACAATGTTATTTAATGTTCAGATTTATTCAGTTGTAGGACAGCACTGAGTCCTCATCACAGTGAAAAAATGTTCTGCAAATTGTATTTTATTCATTTACATTAAGGGAAATCCCATTAAAAAGACCTGGGGAAAAGATTTTCATTTTTAGTGATCAGCAGACAATAGACCCTCTTTTGGGAAGGCTATTTTACATGACCCTGACACAATAGAGGGAGGAGACTCACTTCATTTTTCTGTGTTCCAACTTGCATGCAATCCAGATATTCATTTTAAAAACAGCAGATCAGAAGATGACATTTCAAAATGCCAATTTTATAATTGGAACTTCAAAAGTCCAAGAATACTAGCCCTTTAAAATATTCCTATCATCAAATATAAATATGTACACCTAACAGTTGTAATTCAAATTCATGGGATGTTGAACATGGCACATAAAACTCGCCCAGAAGCATCCTCTACACCGATCAAAATACAAGTGAGTTAGCAATGAAATTCATTCATTTCCATCATTATTATTATACTTGGGGTAACTATTCAGTGCTAAGCTATCTGATTATGGAATATGTTGCCCTTGGGGTTAGAACGTAGTCAATTCATATTTATTTCAAAATATTTAGCTGGCTTCATTGCTTGCAAATTACCCACTAAAAGTTCTTTTTTCATATGGTTTTAAACATTTTGAAACCACAAGATTCAATTCCCTTCCCTTTCCTATCTCGTGTGTCTATATACCACTTTACCCTGCAAGAAGTTAAATGTGATCCCTTCCCCCCCCCCCCAGGAATGTTACAACAATTTAGCATGGGGAAGTCTCATTTATTATCTAACCCTTGATGGATCTGCACCTTCCATAGCCATAGCTTAAATGAATACCATAAGCTGCAACATACGACAGTGTAATTTATAAGACTTTCAAATCTTGATTCTTTTGCACTGGACTAGATGGTGGCTACTACTCAAAATGTGTTGATGGAAAATTTGTAGAGATAGAAATCTTGCATTCACTTCTGTAGGATTTCTATACAGAGAATCAGAGCATTGGATTAGTCAGGGGTACATCCCATGACCAGGAGACTGTTTGGACAACTGTAAAACTGGACCAGTTTGCTTTGAATAAACTGCAAATATTTCCAACTAATAAATATAGCAAAGGGAATGCAATGCCTATTAAATATGGGAAATAACAGGCAGAAATTAGAAGGTTCTAAACATGATTATGATTACAACTATGAAAAAAGCCCCAAATTGATTTTTAAAAATTCTTCCTCTTATTCTTCTGTGATTCTTTTTGCAAGACCTTGTAATTTCTAAAAATAAATAAAAATATAAGAAATGGTCTCACATCCACCATTGCCATATGATGAAATCCCATCCTAGTTTGCCATACAGTTCCACCATCAAGTAAAATGTGAGAGTACACTCTCTATTGAAATGCACAAAGTGCAGGAAAGGCACAATGTACTTTTGGAATCCAATCCAAGTTCTGCCTTGTGTTTAGATTGCTTCTTGGTAGCATGTGTTATCTGAAGTGAAACGGAAACTTTTTTTTTGGTCACCCGGTGTCTGATACATTCGGAAACAAACCAAGCTGAGGTTTCCATGTACTCCCAGAGATAGATTGTTCAGATGGAATGCACACTCTCTACCTGGAGGGATGCATCCTGCTTACCTAATTCTGGAAAGTATTAGGAGCAGGTTGGCAAGAGTCCAGAGTATGTCTTGAGGTACTGCTGGTATCTTTACCACCCAAAACTGTACAGCCTGCCATTGATATTGCTGTCTGGCAAGCTTTTCCACTGTTTGTCCAGTTAGGACCACCCAACCCATTAAGGCTTTGGCTTGCAGGGTTAACAGGAGCTGAGTGGTATGACTCCCTGCCCCCAGTGAGTGGTCTGCCCTCCAGGTCCTGCTGATCAGCAAGGTTGGCTGTGCAGTCATCAGCAGTGCCCTAGAATACTGCTCAGCGAAACATAACATGGCATCACCAAAGTTCTGTAATGGACAGAAATGCAAAGGCTTCAGAAGTATTAGTAAAAGCATTTGGAGTTATTCCAACTGTGAGCTTCACATTATAAGCAGCATTAATAGAACTCCATGTAGGCCTTTAAGACACTTAAATGAGCAAAAAATGAAAATCGTGCTTTACACTGAGTGATTAGAATTGAATAAATAAGTGGAGACCTGACCTGATTTCCTTTATGACGCTTGTTCTTCTTTAGGTTGTTTTAGCAAAGATCAAGTATATCTAGATGGCATTCTTAAAATTTTGAGACACAGAAGTAGCATCAACTTCCAGCTTTTAACAGCACTGGGAAAGGTCAGTGAAATGTAATGCTTGTTTGGAATTGTGTATGTCTTTCCTGTGAGCTTTGGTAGGAACATAAGATTATACAGGACCAGAAAAGATCATTATAGTCCATCTAGCCATTCCCTAAAGGATTTTGATGCTTGTAAATTAAATATAAAACAATTGTGACACTGTGTACATTGGGTCAACTAAGAAGAACTTGCATTTTGACAGTGCCTTCTCACACAAACATATTAAAGTACAACACAGGTCATTATAGTCAAGATGGCAGCCTGTCTTATCTAGTCTGATACTCCAGTGCAGTGCTTTGTCAGAGATGCTTGTTATTCTAATGTGATGTTAAATTGAATTACATCTACCTTTTCAGGTGGAGGTTGAAGGTCCCATTGCACTATTTAAAATGAGAAGGGCTATTCTTCTAGTGTCCAACAATCCCCTGATAAAATTGGTTATTCACTTCATTGCTGTGTGCAAAGAGGCTGCCACCTTTGCCTATAAACATATAGTCACTACACTTACAGTAAATCTGAAGTGCTTTGAAACACTTCAGTGCTGTGACACTGAGCATTTGTAAGAACATGGAGCATCATTTTACTGCCTCTTTCTTGTTATTTTCATTCTATCTCATCTCCACATTGCAAACACCTTTTTCACAGAAGTGTGTTAGTTCCCTACTTGACTCAAAACAAACTTGTTTTGTGGCATGTTTAACTTCCTTGTCAGGTCAATTGTCACTGCTGCAGTCTCACTTCACAAAACTTACATGTTTAATATGGAATTTATTTTCCCCCAAAATATGCAAACCAAGTGGTGGAAGCCCTGACAATTCTAATGTGTAGGTGTGCCGATTTTAGACATTTTTCGTGGTTTGACCAATGAATGTTTATTTTTCAATTCTTACCATTGTTTGGTAAAAAATTCTAAATGGCCGACTTGCAGCTTGGCATAACACCATGAACATCACAAACAGACTATATGTCTGTGACACGGAAATCAGCCACGTTTTGTTTAACATGATAAAAAAAAGTCTGCAAAAAGTATTGATGAGAATTCAGTTCAGTCGAAGTAGGACAAACCAATGTCTATCACACTAGCAAGCCTGTATGTAATGCCATCTTTTAAAGAGACAAGTCCCAGTCTTCCCATATTTGGTTGATGGCTTATGTGTCAGGTTGGACAAGACTCAAAGATATGGCGAGTAATCTAACATTGCAGAATATTATCCAGGCATATTCTTTAAAAAAGATATTTATAATGCGGAAGAAGGCCATTCAGCCCATCATGTCTGTGCTTGCTCTTTTGAAGAGCAATGTGCATAGGAAGTGGTTTGGACAAATGTTATATTTATTGTGCATAGAAAAGCAAACATGATTAGTCTCTTATCTTTTGTTTCTGTCAGGTTTCTTATGAAGATATAGAGAAGCTGAAGAGTATTGCTATGTTACACCATGTGCAAATACCTCACTTCCTGCGGGACCAGACTCGATACAAGGACGAGTTGAATAAGATCATGGAAGTGAATGGGTTGACGGACAGTGAACTCCAGTTATTGGTCTAAAAAAATCCTTAAACTGATACAAATATTGAGATCTCCAAACAAATATATGACCACATTCATCTATGCTAAACTAAGGTTGTCATTCAGAGTTCGAAACTTGTTTAACAGGCAATTTATCTTTGGCTTGGTCCACTATTTTCAGTTACTAAATCACTGAAAGAGGATCAGAAATTTCTAATTGAGGTGTGAAGTACTAATATTAAATTAAATAGGAATATTTTATGTTTTTGTCACCGAGATCAAAACTAAATAACGTTTTGTAAAACAAAAAAATTAAAATCTGCGGGAGAAGAATTGCCTAAAAAACATTAATTTGTACAAAATAGAACACAAAGATAAATTGAATTACAACTATTCTAAGTAAAAAAAGAAGCAAGGCAAAAAAGTGTGGCCAACAGCATGATATTTAGAAGATAACACCTGTGCCCATATACGTATAGCACCATTTATCTGTACATCACCTCATTGTGGTATACTATAAAATGCTGCTGTTCTGTTCTTGACACATCCAGCAGCATTCACTTGTAAAAAAATTCACAATATAATATAGTAAACTAAATCTCCACAAGTACAGAAGAACTACGACAATGGTCACATCACAATGGAATTTCTGTGGAATAAGAATGCTCTACCTGTACATTTCAAACATACCATTATTATAAATTGTTCAATTCTGTAAAACTGTAAATTTTTTAAAAAGTATAATTTTCTTTGATCTGCAGGAGCGTTCACTAGGAAGTTAGGAACACAGGAACACATCAAGAACACAGGAGGTATTGATGTCAAAGAAACTGAGACTTGAAAGAAGGCTATATATCAGAGGAACAGTTATAGCTGATGGGGCCAATTATGGGATTAGTAGTCCTTTATATTTTGGAAGATACTTGAAAGAACCTCCAGAAGTTTCAGTGGGTTCTTTTATGTTAAGAGAAATGGTTTATCTCTGCACTCATAGACAAATAAAATATAGTCCTTACAGCATCTAGTGCCAGAGGTCAAGTCCAACAAAGCATAGATTTATCAACAGGATTTGAAATAATTTATAATATATAATAATCCTTGCATTTGATATAGCGCCAGATTACGTCATTGAGATGCCTCAAAGTGCTTCACGGGATATAATATAAAGTGGATTGACTGTGTTTTTGGTGGGCGAAACGCAGCGGCCAATTGCGCACAGCAGTGTCTCACAAGCAGTCGTGGATTGAGTGAGCACATTTTTAAAAATTTGTTCTGAGGCATTACCCCTGGAAAGCAACCCACCAATCGACTAACAGCTAGATACCTACTTACTGCTAGGTAAACAGGTGTGTGGAGTAAGGAAGTTTACCTAAGGTTTCGCCCCAGCCTGGGAATCAAACCTGGGTCATCTCGTTTGTGTGGTGAGCGCACTAATCACTATGCTACAGGAATTGTATACATTGAGACTTTTCAGGAAATCAAGTATAGATAAGAAAAGGATACACAGTATAAAAAATCTTCACTGCTATGCACTCTTATCCAACTAATTGAAACTTGAGAAAAGAAAATAGCCATAGGAAAAACACCGATCGAGAACTGTAAATGAAAGATGAGATCTTTTGTTCCCTCGTGAATCTCCAATTTGTCACTTATTGCTTTAATACAACTTTATGCAGTTAGAGACATACCTTCTCCTAAGGGGGTAATTCACCCATTTACCTTTTACCAGTTTGCATTACCCTGAAGGTAAATATTCTTGGACCATTGGGAAATAACATCCAGTGTTGATAAGGATCTTCTCTAAGGTTAAAATTCCTTTAAGGTACTTTCTGAATGCTGATCTAGCTTTATTGGTAAAGAAGTGTATATTGTTCTCCATTATCATTTACACCCTGACATTCCCCACACAATATGATATCTGGAGGAATTTTCATTTGTATTTGAAATTGATGGGATTGTCTGAAAGTCAACGTCTCATTGGATACTCTGAAGATATTAAGTCGTCCACTTGGGTGGACTGCTCTAAGATGCACTTTGGCATGCAATGGTGAACCATCCTCATTGCTAATAGAGTTCCACAACTATTGATGTTAGTGTGTGCTTGTGTCCTAAATTTAATATTTCGTAATTAATGGAACAACTGGATAGGGGAAGGGGTACCAATTGTCAGGCCTTGCTTTCTTATACAATATGTGCTTTTTCACGCATTACGTATCTCAATGCATTATGGTGGTAGATGACACAAAATGGTAGTGCATGTCTCTTATGTGTTATCACTGAATTGCCTTTGTCACTGCCTCTGTTTAAAGGCATCCACGTCTTTGCTCTTGAATGTTTGTACTGGTGTTGGAGTGAAGTGTTTGCAGTAAGATTATTTGTTTGTTCAATGAACATTCAGCACTTTCAACCTTTGTATCAGTGGCAAAAATTAAATGCAAGTTACAAATTTGCAATCTTTTAGTCCTATTTAAATGAATAGTAAACTGTTACGAACCTACAGATGAATTAATAAAATTAACGACCAGTATTTTTATGCCACTAGATGTCACTACAACAACAACAACAAAATTACATTTATAGAGCGCCTTTCAGGTGGGGAGGAGGTCCCAAAGCGCTGAACAGTCAGATGTCGGGGCCCGAGCATGGGGGAGGGGTGGTGTAGGGGTGAGGGAAGGCAGAGAGGTGGGAGGGAGACCAAAGGCACGGTCGAAGAGAGGGGTCTTGAGACCGGCCTTGAAGGATGCAAGGGAGGAAGCGAGGCGAAGGGACCGTGGGATGGAGTACCAGAGTGTGGTGGCAGAGAGGCTGAAAGCCCGGCCACCGATGGTAGGGCGGGTCGGGCGGGAGACATGGAACAGGCCTGAGCCTGATGAATGGGCAGGTTGGTAGGGAATCAGCAGGTCAGAGAGGTAGGAGGGGGCAAGGCCATGGATGGCCTTGAAAGTGAGGATGAGGATCTTGAACTCGATCCTCTGGGGAATGGGGAGACAGTGGAGTCGGGTGAGGGTGGGAGTGATGGGGTCACGGAACCTGGTGCGCGAGAGTACACGAGCTGCAGAGTTTTGGATGATCTGCAGCTTGTGAAGGGAAGAGTTGGGAAGGCCGATGAGGAGGGAGTTCCCGTAATCAAACCCTGAGGTGACGATTGCGTGGGTGAAGGTTTCGGCAGCCTGAGGGGTGAGGCAGTGGCGGAGTCTGGCAATGTTGTGGAGGTGGTGGTAGGCAGTGCCGGTCATGGCGCGGATGTGGGGGAGAAAGGACAGTTCAGGGTCAAACAAGATACCCAGGTTCCTGACTGGCTTAGTGAGGTTGAGTGTGCAGTCGTGGAGGCTGATGCTGCCAGTGCCTGAGGTGTGGAGACGCTGGCGTGAGACAATCAGGATGGCCTCGGTCTTGCTGACGTTGAGTTGGAAAAGTTGGCCCTAGTCCAGGACTTGATGTTGGACAGGCAGTCGGTCAGGACCTCAGTAGTCCTGGAGTTCAGGGTGGAGGCAGAGAGGTAGAGTTGGGTATCATTCGCATACATGTGGAAATTTACCCCATATCTGTGGATGGCGTCAACAAGGGGGAGCATGTAGAGGGTGAAGAGGAGGGGACCGAGGACAGAGCCCTGAGGAACACCACACAAAGACAGTTCAGGGGCTGGAGGAGAAACCGTTTGCCGCGACGAAGTGGAGGCAGTGTGAAAGGTAGGACCTGAACCAGTCAAGGACAGAACCTTGAAGGTTGAGGTGGGAGGAGAGGCGGTGGAGGAGGATTGAGTGGTCCATGGTGTCAACACTAACACGTTTCAGTGTTGCACTTCCTAAATCCAAAACTAAAGAGCATAAATGTAAGATCGCCAGTGATATATCTAATAGGGAGCTTAGGAAGAAGTTCTTCATGTGTAGGGTGATGAGAATGTGCAGCTCACTGTCCAAATCTGTGGTTGAAGCAAATAGCATCAATGTATTTAGAGAGAAAATTTAATTCATACATGAAGAGAGAGTTAGAAGGGCAAAGGTGGGATGGGTCTTGTGTGGAGTTTAAACACCAGCACAGACTTGTTTAGCTGAATGGCCTGTTTCTATGTCATATCACTATGTAATTCCACGTAATAGTAAGCTATGCTTAGTCAAAGGTAAGAACATTCCATCAACTGATTACAATAGTTTTTCATGATAAAGATGAACAGTCGATCATGATTAGAACATTTTGTAAAACAAATTTAATATCAGAATTAAGCTTCCTAGTTATTTAATGCACATTAACTTTCACATTCTTTTGCATTCATTATCTATTATGCATTCCAGATACTTGCAGGAAATCTAGACCCACTGGGTAGATGGTACATTGTTCAATGATACACTGCATGAACACATAGTACTCCTCTGCACATTTTATAGGGAATGGTTAGGTTGAACTGTGCAATCTGGAGGCAAATTATGGCTTGATGCTATCTTTGGAGCTACAATCAACCACCCAAAAAGTTTGAAAGAGTGACATTAAATATTGATACTGTATTTAGTTAATAACCATAGTTCATGATTTGCACTTAGATCAGTGATTATGAGTGAGTAATGTAAATCAGAATTCTAGCATCACAACTTTCAACCGCTCTAAACTTCATTTTATCTGCATTCTCCATCTAAATGAGTTTACCTGGCCTGGGAGATCTTGTTGGCAACATTTGGTGCCTGGAAAGATGGCAATCCCTTCATTATGATTAATACTTTTTCACCCCACAAAAAGAAGAAACCTCACTTTCAACATTTTTTTCTCAGGAGAATTCATTTAAACTTTGCATGTGTGGATGGGAGAGAAAAAAACACTGCTGAAAGTTTTTAAAAATGTTACAAGTCAAAATAAAACTCTCTTTCAACAAGATATCCCAATGCTATTTTTCAATCCAGCCAAATTAATTCAGCCGCAGATCACTGTTTTCATTGATTTCTTTGATCAATATAAATTTCCTGGGTTAAAGGAGAGAAAAATGTCACTTTCCCAAGCTCAAAATGAACTGTTTAAGGAAACCTGAGGCCAAGGTTGGGTTTATATTATAATCCTTACATTTGATACAACACCTTTCACAACTGTCATGACACTCGTTTAGCTTCACAAGATATACTCTTAAAGTGTAATGATTTATACTTGTATGTTTAGGTGCCAATATGCACGTAGAAATGTCCCACAAATAGCAATGAAGTGAATGACAAATTTTATTTGGGGGATTGTTGGCCAGGTTACCAGGAGAAACAGCAACAATATTGTGCTTTTCACTTTGGGAGGACATCTCAAGAAACTTTCGAGTAGTGCTATGAGATCTTTAACATCCACCAGAACAAGCAGACATGACTCAGTTTACCATCTAATTCAAAGGATGGCCAACAATAAACATCTCCAGCAATGCCCTGGGGGTCAAAGTTACAATGTGGAACCTAAATCAACAACCTTCTGACTCAGGTGAGAATTGAGAATATTAGGAACTGAAACAAGCATTAAAAAACCTCAGCATCACTTAAGTTTAAGTTTCCTTTTGATGGATCAAGCAGATAAAATACCTAATAACTAAAAATTAGGCCAGGTGACAAAAAAATAAAAAAACAAAATGATGACGTTCAGGGGAGCTGATGAGGTTTATAATAGTAATAATCCTTACACTTGATATAGCGTATTTTCACATCAGCGAGACGTCTCAAAACGCTTCAGAGTTTTGAGACGTTACTTTACTTTATTAATTTATTTAATTTATTAATTTATTTAATTCACTTTACAGAGTTACTGTAAAGTGAATTGACTGTATATTTTGTTTGAACCCTAAACATTGTCCAAAACACTTTGAACACAGTTACGCAAGGTACCAAGTGCAAGATTCCTTTAAACCCAGAGACTGGCCAGCCCACTTTTACACCCACTGACACAGACCAATAACCAAGCTCTCACCACACGGACCGAGAAGCTGGAATGAATGTCTTTAACCTAACAGAAATTAATCCTCTGCCCTGGCTGTTTCTCAAAGTGTCTGTCATGAAGTGTTTGGCTATGCATACCCGCTCACCAGCAGGATTTCCATTATTACATATAACTGTTTTTCCAGGAGCAAAACTCTGCTCCCAAGGAAATAAAAAAACTATA